AATTTTATTGGTTGTTATAAGAATTGCATCATTTTCTTTGCATAAAAATTAAAAAATTTAAATATAGCATCTTTTATAAGAAAAAAAAAAAAAAAATGTACTTGACAATATTTTATTTTATTTTATTTGAATTGCTTTGGTTGGATTACTAAGAGATTAAGGTTGAATGAAAAATTCAAAATTAAATCTAATACCATCAAATTTTTCTAAAATAAAAAAATATATTATTTTTTTTGATGTACTTATATAAATTTATTGAGACACTACAATTATTGAAGAAACTCATATCATTTTTGTATCTTTATGATTAATTATTCTTTATGTTGATTGAAATAGTAGACATAGTTGATATATAGCAAGTATTAAATCTTTCATTTGATTATGTATTTGTATTATAGAATTTTTCATATCTTACAAACATTGTATTTGTAAGGACTTTAAAATTTCTATATTAAGAAAAATAAATTTTAAAAAAAATATTATAAATTTTTTTTTAGCTTAGATGAAGTTTTAAAATGCTTTGATATTTTTATAAAAAAAATTAATACACCTTTTGTTAAGAAAGCTAAATCTTTAATATTATAAGTATTAGTCTTGTTAATTTTTTAAGAACATAAATCCAAATTAAATTCAAAAGACAACATACTTATGTAAGAGTAAAATTTATTCCTTAATTCAAAGTATAAGATAGATTCAATTAAGAGCTATATGTAATTGGTAGTTTAAAATAAAAAAATAAAATAAATAAATAAATAAATGGAAAGAAAAAGAAAAAAATCAAGTAAAAAAAAGATAATAAAATAAGTACATACTTAAAAAATTAATTATAATTTTTTCACTATATTTTATATTATAAAAAAAATTAAATGAATATTTTTTATAGAAAATTTATTTATCTTTCTAATAGTATAAAAAACATATAAATTTATATTATTATAAAGGAGTTATGAAATTTTATAGATAAAAAGTTTAAGAATTAAAAAATTAAAGTAATTAGAATTCATCTTAAGAATAACTTAATTAAGTGATTAAGGATTTGAGCTTCACTAAGGCTCACAAGTAGTATTTGGGATATTCTAAAGGAACCATACGGCTTCAAACTTATTTTCTTCTTGACATCTAAAGTACTACAACCTATATGAGATATATGCATCTTCATTTCTACTAATACTATTATATAGTTACTAGTCACTATAGTTTCTATTAACAAAACATATTTCTTTTGTAATCTTGACTTTACTATGGTCTTAAAAAACACCAAAGTAGCTTTCTAACCTTTTAGGGTCTTCAAATTTTACTACAAATCTTCATAATTGCCTTCCAAAGTGGTAAAATTATTTTTATCGAAATCCAAAACAAATGTTATGAAACTTTCAGAGATATTCTAAATAAATCTATAAATAAAATTTTACAAGTATTCCAATTTTTATAACATAATAACATTAATTTATGCTACTTTATCCTACTGTGGTGATTCTTGTTTTAGTCATAAATTAATTTAAATTAATTAAATATATTATTTTATATATAAATAATTAAAAATTTATGAAAATTTATTTTCATTCTTCTTCTATCAATTAACAATTATTTTTAAGCTTTTAATAAATAATATATAAATATATATAGGTGATCATTTAAAACAAAAGCCTTAAAAATTAATCATAAATTATTCCAATTAAAATAAATATTAGATCTAATAAGCTAATTAAGATTTTATTTTTAAGATTTTTAAGATTTTAATAATACTCTTGTGATTTTTAATACTTTTTGAATCCTAATAAATAATTAAATAAGCAAAAAAATACTCTAATTTCAAATTTATTACATCTAAAGAATATTAAATTATATATTTTGACAAATTGACAAATTAATATACATTTGTAAGTCACAACTTATGTATCAATAAGGAAGAAATATATATATATATATATAAGATAAAAATGAAAGAAAATAAATACTGTCAAATAAAAAAATTATGTAAAAATTTTAAACCAAAATTGAAATATAAGAAAGATATTAACAAGATTGAAAATGGCCTTAGTTTTATCTCTATATATATTAGATACTCAGAAGGCCTTATAAGAACCTCTTAAAGACAATAAGGCTTTTGATCAAAGTATTTTTGTATTATGTAAAAATTAGCTCAAAAATGGGCTAGGCATTTAGTTATAGAAGAATTTGATCTTATCTTCAAGTTGGATTTACCATCCAAAAAAAATGCATAAGGTGTTTAAAAAAAAAACTTTTTACAATCTTAAATAATCTAAGTAAACTTCCAATTTTACTAAGTATACTTTGTTAAGCTTTAAAAAATCTTAGATACATCTTATTATATTTTAAACAACTCCAAATAAACCTTGAAAAATCTTTAAAATATTTTTAAAAAATTATAAAGAAATTCTAAATAAATTCTTAATAAATCCTTAAAAACTAAAAAAAAAAAAAAAAAAAAAAAAAAAAAAACCTCAAATATACTCAATTCAAATTCTATCTAATCTCCAAAGAATCCTAAATACATACTTAAAAATTATAATTAAATTCGAATTAAATTCTAATGAATTTTTAAGCAAATCTTTAAAAATCTTAATCAAATGTTGTATAATTTTTCTAACAAATTTAAAATTTCAATAATTATTAATTTAACTCTTGATATTGATTTTAATTTTTTTTTAATTTTTAACCTACTAATTGAAATTAAACATAAAAAATATGAAGAGAAGTAAGCTTGTAGATTAGAAGAAAAAGCTTGTAATTTTTTTGAATGTCAATTTTCTTCTTTCTTCAACCTTGATGTAAATCTTCTAGCTTTAATAATTCTATATTTTAAAATTGAATTTTTCTAAATTATTACATAGATTCTTACAACTAAGTCAATTATCAACTTCCATAAAAATTATTTCAATCCATTTGGCAGATTATTCAAAATCATAGAAGTCTTGACTAGTCCTTAAAATCCAACTTCTTCAGCCTTAAACCACTTGAATTTCAACAACTTTTAATTTATTTGTCCAATTAAACTTAAATTTACAACAAACATTTATTACTATAATGTTTACCAACTTACAAATTTTCACCCATTAATCTACTAAAAAATGCACAAAATTCAATAAAATAAAACATTTTTTTATTTCAAAAAATAGAGTCATCCAAAACAATCATAACTTTTTTTAAGTTTTTACAAAGTCACTATCTATTCAAATCCCTCAAACTCAATGTTATAAAAAATTATATTAAGTATACTTCCAAATTCCACTATTAGATCAACAAAAAACTTTAAATTTATTATCAATGTGCAATTTTGTACCTTAGGATCCAGTTTCAACCTTGGTTTACAATTGGTCCATTTTGGATATCAATTTAAGGATTTTCTAAGTAATTTTTGTTGAAAACTATTATTTACTTTTAAGTTAAAATATCTATAATATTATTTTTTTTAACCTAATTTTTTTTTAATGGTTCTATAAAGTATATAGACACTTTTTTTTTTAAAGATGTATTATTAACATTAAATTATCTTTTATCCTTTTTAATTTCCACTTATATTTTTCAAAGTAATTTGCTACTATATTTTCAACTAAGTTTTTTTAAAATATAATATTTTTATTTTACTTTCATTCAATAGATGTATTATAATACAATATTTTTAAGTTATTAATTGCTTCTAATATGGCTATTTAAAATTAAGAAACTTGTAGGATAAGTTTCAATAATTATAGACATACCTATAGAAATTTAAAAATCTAATCCAAATCTATAGAAAATTTCTTTAATTTAATTTTTTAAAGATATCATCTATTTTATGTATTCTATTTATTTTTTATTTTTATTTATTCAAGTAATATAGGCATCTACTTTAATTGATGGATAGAGAATTACATCAACTATTTTTTTTGCAAAATATAGATTATAGTTGGTTGTCAATTACATTCAACAAATCTTAGACTTTGTCAACTTTGGAAGAAATTTGATTGCTCATAATAGACCTTATTTCTTAGAAAGGAAGATAATTTATGAGATGCCTATATTACTTATATATATATATATATATATATAAGTAAGAAGAAATAGTTAGAATTATGATAGATAGATAATATATTTGATAAGAAATTTAAAATATCAAGCTTAGATGTAAATTAAATATTTTGAATCTTATACATGTGTTACCTAGGATTTATTTAGGATTTGATTAAGAATTACATAGATTTTTTTTATTATTTTTTATTTTATTTTTTAATATTTCTTTAAGATTTATATATGATTTTTTTATTTTTTTATTTTTTTAAGGCAAATTTTGGATTTGATTAAGATTTTATTAGAATTGTGAAGATTTAATTGGAATTTATTTAAGACTCTATTAGAGTTGTTAGGAGCTTGTTGTTGAAATTTCTAATTTTCCTTCCACAACCAAGTATATAGTGCATTCTCAAAAAAAACTTCACATAATATGACAACATAAAATAAATCAAATAAATACACTTTTTCATCCAATACACAAATCTCGCATATTATCCTAACTTCAACCACATTTGTAATCAATATCCACAATAAACAAATATATTAATAAACAATCATATCATTGCTTCAGACTTGCTCAAACAAGACACTCTACTTACCAATTCATACACAAGTCAAGAAGTTGAACCACAAGGTCATTGTCAACATGACTTATAAGAAAACAATCATTTATACATGACACCAACTATTCCTTCAACTTGTGAGACTCTCATCACTACCTCTATAAACACATTATGTCAACATGTACTCCCAATCTATGGATTTGATCAATTGCTCACACTTTCATCACATATTCAATGCTCATACACATACACATGTTCTACAATACATTCCAACTGCATCAATCAAGTTGGCTCCACTATCACCTTTAGTCAAACGAAAGCACACAAACATTCAAACTCAACAACCATGATAAAGCTCAGCACATGTAAAACTCCACAAACCTAAAAAGTAAAGTCAGTGGTAACATGCCCAAACACTCGATATGAAAAATACTTTGAAGTCCTTGCCAAGAGAAACAATACAAGCAATGCACAAAATACTTGTCGTGCTCAAAACAAAACCCTCCGAGACAGCTCCAGAACTGGTGGGCCGAGCTTGACGAGATTCACAGCAGCACCAAGTTACTAAGAAAGTAGCAGTTATGAACGAAATACTCAGGCCCCTGACAAAGAGAGAAAAATCCCAAAAGTGAACAATGGCACTGTAATCAATATTCAAAATGTTATACCCGGCTGGTTTCTATGTAGAACTTCCAATAATATAATTAGAACCAAGAATAATGCTAAAATTACTACACTGGCAGGAACAATGTTGACACCATGAATATACTGCATGACTCTACTTTGAAGGCAATACAAGAAACTAATTGACTTTTGTTTTGTATGGATGGCTTTGCCTGGCTTGGCATCAGCCCCGGCCATGGTTTCAGAACAGGACATCCCGAAGATGAATACTAGGGGAGAGAGACACAATGAGCTATAAGAAGAGATTGTAGTCCACTGGAAGAGAGAAAAGAGAGACGCAGGGATTGCCCAGAAGTAAAGGAGCTGCCTTAGCGAAAGAGTGAAGACATTTTCGAACATATCTTCAAGCACTTCCACACACATCCACTAACGTTACTCTGTATGTCGAGTGAGCAATGCAAAGGGTTTATATTGGAAGAGAATTAGAATTGGGTTTCCAAGGCCGCCATACGCAGCCACGCAAAGCTATCAATCCATCCGAATTGTCAATCCATTCGAGTTGAAGGAAGTACGGAGCACCGCCTGTATGAAGTCATGGGCTTCAGCAACCCTAAACCTCTTAATGATACGTGTTGCGGCTGAGAGCGCTGTCTTTTTCCCGTGTCGTTGAAGCCAGAGAACACCAGGTGTGTATGCGAACCTTCCTTCCTTCGAGTCCTTCCAGCGAGTTGTACCTCACAGGCATATCTTCATCAGTTGCAAAACACTCTACAATGTCATATTTCTATTGACCAGCTAACCAAATGTGAGCCCTGAACTCAATCTTTTTCTCAACTCGTTGATAAAACAAGTATGAACTAAATCTGAAACTTGTGCACTTGGGGTTTACCAGTTATCGCGTCTAAAGTGTTGAGGTTGATGCAATCTAGATTGTCCGTGTTGTGGAGCTGAATCAATCGTGCTAGCAGGCTTGTTAGATGTAGTGTGTTGGTGAGGTCTTTACTCAGATGTGCGTTTGTTGGACCTTGCAAGTTCTGTCAAATGCACAATCAAGTCGAGGGATTTAGCAAAAAAATCTTGCTACACTTAGAAACCAGCAATCTATGGAGCACCCTCTTCTTGGAGAATTCTCAGCTGCAGTTGCACACCAGATGGAGATCGTGGCCCCTCCAAAGCTTTGGACTTCACTTATCGTCAATCAGCTGTCTATGGTTGTAGCATCATCCAACACAGTGTCTGCGAAGGAGTTTGGGATACCTTTCTTTCAAAGATCCACAAGTGGGAAGAAGACAACTGCATTGGTGCAGGGCAATCTGAAACCCGCCCAGCCTGTGCCGCGCACCAATGCCGAACCAACCTGAAGAGCAAAGTAAAGTTAGCTACCATTCTGTTAAATGTTGTTCAGCACCTGGTGATACCACGGCAATTTTTGTTTTTATCCCCGCGTTTGTTATCTGTAATTGAATTGTGCTCATTAACTACAGTCGGGTTTCCGTTCTCCCACGCAGAGACTCTAGTTCTTGATGCCTTCATGTGCAGTAAACTCCATTGCGGGGCCAATGTCATGTTTGCTACCTCAAGGTGGAGAATTGTCCTTGCAATAGGTAACTTAGCATTTGAAATTGCAATATACTAAAACTATAATACAACTCAGAAGTCGCCCTTCTTGTACTGCTCTCTGCAGAGATTACAGTGCCTTTTTCTGCTGCATAGAATGATTCTTCACCACCTAGATTTTGTTCATGATATGAGGATGGCATGACTGTTGGATTGATAGAACAAATGAGCTTTGTGAAGAATCGTAAGTTCAAATCCTTTTTATAATTCTAATTGAATTCAATTACAATCTGTCACTATTGTTTAATTGTTTATAACAAACTGCAAACAATTGTCTATTCAATTACAATCTGTCACTATTTATTCAATTAGAATTGTTTGCAGTTTATTAACTTTATTATGGATAATTAAATGTTTTGTAATCTCTACGTGACTACTTTCTTACATTAATTAATTTTTAATAATTTAAAATTTACTCTTGAGTTTTGGTGTGTGTACATATGAATATGCTGGGATTTTGAAAAAACAAATCACTAGATGTTTTATTTTGAAAGGTCTGTGCATAATAGAGATATTTAAAGTACATGCTGATTCCTAAAAAAATTGATTAAAATCAATGTATTACATCAGTAAAACTGAGATTTAAAATATTTTGTTTGTTAACCTTATATAATACAGTTAAGATTTTAAAATAAAAAAATAAAAAATAATGATATATATAAAAAAAATTATTGCAATGAAAACATAAGATCATGGACAGCATTTGATATAAAAAAGTAACACTTAAATTAAATAAAATGGCTACTAGTGGATGGTTTGGCCATAATGAAAAAAATATTGTTAACAAATAACTGCAATAATCTGATTCTTTATTAGTATTCAACCTTTTATTTTGATTTTTTTTAAATCTAAAAAGAAATGGGTTATATAATCTAAGTTATATATTTAATTTATTAAAAATATTAATTTAGTGTTTATGTGTAAATGTGTGTGTATGTATGTATATATATATATATATATATATATTGCCACTTTGCTAAGCACTTAAAATTATAAATTAGATATGACTTCTTGAAGACTTGGATTGATATCTAAATTATAATGTAAAGAGAAAACCAATTACCTAAATTAAAAAAAAAAAATGTATATTTACATATACTTAAACATACATACATATATCATTAATTTTTGGCTATGACCAAAGGGAGAGGGGACAACAAGGGGGGTTGTGTTGGCATAGGGTGGGAACTGGGGTGGCGGGGTTGGGGTATGGGAACAGGGATGCGGGATGGGAACAGGGTGGGGGACATGGAACTTGTACAAAAATGAATCATGAGTTGGGATGGGGGTGTAGCTTTAACAATTCCTTATATATATATATATATATATATACATACATACATAGAAACAAAGATTACAAAAATGTTTGTCAATTTTTTAGAGATTTATTTTGATATTTAAATCAAAGAATTTTTAGAGATTTAACAACTAATGAATCTAAGAAATATTTTAACAACATTTTTTTTATATGATACTTGGGTTCTATTTTTAATTATACAAAAATGTTGAATTTTAGAAGATATATGACATCTTAGTTCTGAAACAAAACCACCATTTTTTTCCCTTACCTAACAAACCTTAAACTCCACATCACATGATAATCACTTTAAATCATCAGTTATTTGTGAATATTTAAGAAAAAGAAAAAAGAAAAAGTTAAATGAAAATAAATCACTACTATTATACATTTATATCAAAACACATAGTATATTCATACATATATTCACATTTCAATTTTAATTTTTTCCTTTTTTTTCACATGCAAATAAATCACTACTATTCAAAGATTCCATGAAGCAGTGGTTCATGTCAACGAACTTTCTAGAAGACGGAGTTCCACAACTGCAGAACTAACTAGTGAGAAGAAGTGGTGAAAGGCCCTGCGCCGCCCAAACCTTGAGGCCGATAACCGGCGATGCGTGAAAGGGCCCTCATCACCACGAGCTCGCCTCCACCACGAGCTTCCCGCCAAGGAGAACCCAAGCCAGAATCCGAAGCGGCCAGGCTCGGGGAGCTCGGATAGCCTCGGCCATCATCGAAGGAGAGGATTCGCTGGCCCGGGTCCCGGGCCAGTCAAGTCCCAACCTCCATCTCCCCAACAGCTCATCCACACCTTATCCGTTACGGGCAGCCCGGATTCCCTGGTCCAAAACTTTCCTCGGCTGCCCGTGACGTCGCAGGTGGCGTTCTAATACACTCGCCGGGACTTTCATGGGGCGTTGTGATTCAAGCCTTCCTGCGACGTTGCGGTGATCGGTTCCTCGGCTCCATCGCGGATCCGTGACGACGACGACGACTTGTGACCGGTGTTATTGTTGCTGCAGCGATGGCCAACGCAGTTGCATGCATGGCGGGTCTGTCCCAAGGCGCGAAGCTGGGGAGCAGCTTGGCCGGGACTAAGGTGGTGAGCAGCGGCAGTGGTATGGCCGCGGCCGTGCAGTGCGGCCCCGTGAGTGTGCGCGCCCAGAGCGAGGAGGCGCAATCCCGCAGGGGATTCTTGAGCTTGGCCGCCGTGTCCCTGGCTGCCACTGCTCTCGCCGGCAATGCCCGCGCTCTTGAGGCCATCAAGCTGGCTCCCCCTCCACCCCCCTCCGGTGGCTTGCGTAAGTGTCGATCCCCGTTGCCTCTAAGTGGAAAGTAATGCGAATCGCTCATCATAATATCTCAGCATGTTGGTGAAATCTCCTTCATTCGAAACTTTCCGTGCACATGGCCGCATTCTTACATATTGTTAGTAGAGGTTAGGTTAGATTTAGCATTTGAAACAAACCCGTGGAGTACAGTAGCAATTGTAGTTGTGGTTCTTACCGTCGAATTAAGTAGTTTATCAACTATGGAGTACCGGGTTGGAATGTGGGCGTTTAACATAGCTGAGCATATTGTTCGGGTTTATTTCAGCCGGAACCGAAAACGCTGATCAAGCCCGAGACACGGATTTGCCTTTGAAGTCGAGGTTCTACTTGCAACCCAAGACCCCTCAGGAAGCCGCGGAGCGTGTTAAGACCGCAGTGGAGGCCATCAAGGAAGTCAAGCCCTTGATCGAAAAGAAGGCATGGCCATACGTCCAGAACGGTCTGCGCTCGTCCGCATCGTACTTGCGATACGACCTGAACACCATCGAGGCATCCAAACCTAAGGCTGACAAGAAGGCCTTCAAGGCTCTGACCGCCAAGGCCCTTGATACCTTGGACACCGTAAGTTCTCATCCTGTTTGTTCGAGTTTCTCTCAGATATTGGGGCTTTCTCCACGACGTGTCCGATCTTAAAACACTTCATTTCTACAACCAAACTCACAAGGTATGTTGTATGTTGTTCTTTGCAGTTGGACTACGCAGCGAGAGTGAAGAGCCTACCCAAGGCTGAGAAGGCGTACGCAGAGACCGTTGCCTTGCTCGGTGAAGTTATGTCCCAGTTATAGATCTAGGGATCTGCATACAATGTAACAATAGAAGCCTGAATCTTATGCAACCGGATACTTTCCCTTTCATGTGCATTTGTCTCTGCAAGCCTGCTGGTTTGAGAACGGTACATTATGCCTGTAGACATCACAAGTGATTCTGTAAGCCCGTAATTTGTCGACTATACCACATTGTTTTATCATTGAAGCAGTCCCTAATCCTCCTGTCCTGTGTGTTTCATACTCTGGCTGTTCCCCTGTCGGAATGCATCTTGATTCCAGTGTGTGTCACGAAGTATCGTGAGCAGAATTCGTAGTCAATAATTGAATTGAACAGCCTGCTAATATTCTGTAAACATGATCAGTAGTAAGTCTCTTGAAATAATTCCGATGAAAGCCAACAGTGTAGTGCGACTAGCCATATACCGTCTGTCTTTTTAGTAAAAATCGCAGTTATTTCTATAATCTCCTATCGTCATTAATCAGCTAGTTTACATTCAATCTATGCACCCACTGCATACATAATACGAACTAATTCCATCAACCAAATCAGTTTTGATCAGTAGAATAGTATAAAAATCGGAAAAATGCGAAAAATTCTTTCCCACTGACTTTTTGAAGAAACAGTTGATGAAATTGACTTATCCATTCAACTCCATACTCTACATCCACATCTTTTACACAATAGTCACAAATCATCGTACAACATAGGAAAATTCTTACCAAACTAATTCACTCAACCAAACAGTGAAATTCTCTCACCACTGGTACATCTTTCTCACTCTCTAACCCTTCAATAAACTCGTCACAACAGATTGTTATTACATGATGAGATACTTCTGCACACATTAGAGCACATTGCATTGTGCAAAGGATGTATTTCGATGGATTGTCGAATTGACATCTTTACATGCAGTCAACTAATCAATAATATGCCACTTCCTATTGTAAATTATCCTCTTTGACTAAATGAAGCATGATGGATGAGAGGCAAACAGTGCATGTTGTGGGACGAAATAGGATGATTGTCTCAAAAATTGTATAATTCAAAATTTTATTTACTTTCATTTGACTTCTAAAAACGCAATTTTTAAAAAAAAAAATCGTATTCTATTTTTGGGTCTATATTGAAATTAAATAATGGACTGCCAATTGCGCCTTAACTATGGAAGCATGCTACTTAGTTAATTCAAGTTGTGTGGGGTGAAATAAGATTTAGCATTATCAATTGGGGTTGTTGCATTAACAATTCTCTAAATTCATTACATTGTTATTATTTAAGAATCCTAGTTCATAAACAATCACAATATTAATGTAAATTCTACATACTAGAAAAACTTTCATAATTATATTTCTACCATTATTGATACATTATTTTTACTTTTTTTTAGAAAACTTGGAATTGGATTTCAAATTCATTAATGGCTTAGCAATCATAAAGAAACTAACAAACAAAAAGGCTGTTAAAACATTTTTTTAGTATTTTTGAATTACATCAATTGATAAATAAATGTTTGGTTTTTCTCTTTTTATTTATTTATTTATTTACAATCTTTTCTTTTACCATTTTTGACTTTATGCTATTGATTATAGAACATGCCATTAAATTTTTATTTTAAATCACTAATATTTATTTTTTTACTATTAACATATAATGAGTTATTATTTAGTTTTTTAAATATTATATTAAAGTTTATATTATATACTATGATATTTTCAATACAAAATCATTTTTACTAATAATTAAAAATATCCATCTATTCTTTAAGAATGTTATTATTTTATAAAATTTTAAATCTCAAATAAATTAAAAATCAAAACTAATTAGTTGATAATATTTTAATTAAAACAATTTAATCTTTGATAGTATTTTTTTTATAATCTACTTTTATTTTTATAATTTTTCTTTAAAATCAATATACTTGAAGATATTTTTTAATCATCTAATGTATGTAAGTTTGTAATTAATTTTATATTAAAAAAGAATCAAAGAAAAAAATTAAATTATATAATAGATTCTCTTTTAGTAAGTATATACAATTAGTACAAGAGGTATTGCCACTAGTATGGCTAACAACAAACATGTTATTGTCATAAATTAACCTTACAACTTCTAGATGCAAATTTTGTAATGCTATTGATTATATTCTTGTATTGAAGACTTTGTAATTGCTTGAGCCCCTTGTAATAATGGCATAGGCACTTTACCTGCTAACATTTTACCATTCAATTAAAAGATCCTTGCTAGTTTAAATTTTGAAGCCAACAAGTAAATACTAGGAAATATAGATATATTTAATACTTTGTAAGCCAAAGTATGTATTGTATTTTTAACACTAGTATCTTCATCTTGTGTTGAAGTTGAAATAGAAGGCTTTGTTGTAGAATTAACATCCATAAGGCCATATGATAAAAGCAATCACATATGAGTATTAGCATCTTCACAATTACTTGGATGGCCAAATAAATGTTCTAGTGCCTCATTTGCTATAGATGCCATATTTTTAGCTATTATTTAGGCAAGTATAGTAGCTACAACAACCATTTGTCTTCATGCATTGAACATATAATTTTTTGGAGAAGAAAAACTACTTCTACCTTTAGAAGTTTCATGAGATCCAATGACTTGGCCTAATCAGGCCACACTATTGAATCTCTTCTCTAATTCAATAATTTTAGCTTCTAAAACTTTTTCCATATCTGAAGCATGCAGTTTCTATAGATGTAATATGAAGCAATTATCTTCATGGTAATTAAATATGTCACAATGAATACGCTTCAATTATCATTTTTTATAATTATCTCCTACTTTAGTCATCTTAGCTTTTGACTTAGACTTCTCTATGTATAGGACTTTTTTTTTTCTTAGACCAATTGGAATCATTCTTTGTGTGACCAAATTCACTACACCTTCAACAATGCATAGTCTTTTCAAGTTGAATTTCTGCTAAGCTACTTGTGGTAGTTGCAACCTTCTTAGGTTTAAAAATATCTGCCATCTAAGCTATCATGTTAGTAGCACCATGTTGACAAAGTATCTTATTGCATTTTTGAATTTTAGCAAATGCTTGTGCCAAAGTTGTGTTGCCATCATAGTTGAGAATAATTCTTAGTATGGCTAAATCTAAAAGTCACTTATCAATCTTAGATAAGAAAATCTTAACAAGTTGGCTCTCAACAAATATACCTCCTGACTCTACTACAAATCAAGCCAAATAGGTATATATGGTATGTGAAATATCTTCCTTTTTCAAAGCAAAAGTCTTGAATGTGTTGCATTTGATTATGCCTAAAACCTCCATACTCATGCTTCAAAAGCTTAATAAATATTTGAAGAGGTTTAAATAATGGTAGCTCTCCCATTGCAGATAAAGTTACTTTTATTACTTGAGTCATGCGAGACAAAGTAGTTGGAGTGTTAGATAAAGAAGTAGCTACTCTTTTTCCTTTGATATCTTTCAAAGATATATCAACTTCTTTGTAGATTGAATCTTCTTCCTTCATCGTGAGTATTAAGCTTGAGATAGCACCTTCCTTAAGAGCTGAAATAAGTTCTATGCATGCCTCTCCATAATGCTTTACTTTACACAACTCAACTGAATATTATTTAGTTCATTTTCTATAGATTTGAAGCACTTCATGTTCTAAGTGTTGTAGTAAGAGCTCAAAGGCATACCACTCATTCAAAGTAGAAGACCCTTAATGCTTTTTCTTCATCCATCTTTAAAATTTAAGTCTCCAATTTGGCAAAGAAATACCCCTAACTCTTCTTGAGAATCTATCCTTCACCATGTTGTGAGGATCATCTTCTATCTTATAAAATGTATCTACTTCCAAGTTCCAAAGCCTTCAAGTAGTATCCAACATTAAAATAGGTTGAAAAGCCTTGTTAGTATCCACCTTTGGCCCAAATTCTTTGATGTGGTCACTATCCAAGTAATCTTGTGAAAGAAAATAATAATATCAAATTTTAATATGTACCATAAAAGAAACTACTTGGATACCTAAAACTATCTACAAGCTAAAAAAATAACCTAGGTATGTAAAACTACTAAGCTTTAAAATTTATTGGCAATCACCTCTTAATTAATACAAATTTAAAATATCCACAAACAAAATGAACTTGCCAACTATCAACTAAACTTCATTCCTACAATATACCTATCAATATAAACTAGTACAAATATAAAATGAGATAACCATAAAAAACCTCCAAAAAAAATTCTCACATCTAGAGAAGGTACAAAAAATAAAATCTAAAAATCCACATTGGATCTTTATCGTCAACAACACATAAGTGAAAATCAAAAGTAAACTAGAGCAATTGGCATCTACTTGCAGTTGATGGTCACAAATTACAAAATATGTGGCAATAAAAAAAACAATTGCAATAAAATAAAATATAGAAAAGTAAAAAAAAATAAAAAATTGATTTAGAAAGCAATCGACATTTAGTAAATGCCACTTTAATGCTCCAAATGACTTCCACTCTAAAATTTGAGTACACCAATGGACTCTTTGGGCCTCTTTTATATGAAATTAATTCAAAAATAATTAAATCTAAATTCTATATATATTTAGATTGAGCTTCTAAATTTGATACTTAAGAGTTTTGGATAATATATGTTTTTTTTTTTCTAGTGCCCTATAACCATGTAATCGATCGATGACTATACTTATTATATAATTGTTCAATCTTATAACTGTTGGTTTCTATAATTGTTCCAAAGCCTTTTGTCATATTGATCTTTTAATCCTATAGACTTATAACCTTAGAGTCTATGACTATAAATCAATGCTAAGAAATATAGAAGAATATCACAAGTCAGTACTCATTATTGCAAATCATCAATTATCCTATTGTTGCGCATTATTTCAACTCTCAAAGATTCAAATCTTATTGTATCCTTTACAATTCTTTATGATGAAGCTCCATGCATGTGCTATATCTCCTAACAAAATGATTTGCGCCTTGCATTGTGATCTTATAATGCATTGTTTTTATGGCCACTTTGCACTCCTTGGCCATATAACAATCCTACTACTTTTTGCCTTGCACTGTTCTTTGTAATCGAGTTTTGCAATCCAAACTAGCTACCTTACTTTCTTATTGCCTATCATCACTTAGTGTTTGTTCTTGTACAGTGACCTTATCTATTGCAATAACCTTACTATGACCTTCCTATGTCAAGGACATAAATCTTAAAGAATTGA